GTCACGACCTCGTCCTTTCCATCGGACAGGTGGCGTTGTCGCGGCCGTGACCGTGTTCGGTAGCAGGCGGCTGGGCAGCTCATGATGTTGTGGGTTTGACCATTTGCCGATATGATCACCCCGGGGGCGGGTGATGGTAGCCACCGCTAATATCGACCAAAACGTGTGGTATTTGCCGCGTGTACGATATCAAATTGCGGAACGTTTTCACCATTGTTTGTCGCTACATGCTGACTGCAGGTTGTGCCGCACGAGGTGATGGGCATGTCAAACTACAACAAGAACCTGTTCGTCGGGCTGGGGGGAAAAGACGCCATCGACCTTTCTCACTTCATCGGGGCCTGTTACGGGATGGAGAGGATGATGGGAAGGGCGGACAATCCCCTGAGGCGCATCCTCAACCGCGCGGCGGACGATTTTTTGCAAAAGCTGCCCCTGGTGAGAGTAACACGGTGGAGGCAACCAAGTCGACTCAAAACCCGTGCCTGGAAGTTGGTTGCTGTGAACCTTGAATGCCCTTTGGCAGTGCTGCCCTTGCCTTCCGGCTTTTAGCCGCGTACCTGTTTCCACTCACCTTCTCTGCCCGACCCCCGTCCCCCGCTCGCAGGTGTATATTTTGACAGTGATAGGGCCTGCAGGAAACAGTGGGGGGCTGGCCCTCCGAGGACTGTTCATTGGAAACGACGAGGAGTGCTTCAACGCAGCTGCCAAGCTGTCACTGGAAGTCAACTTCACCCTTGTACCAAGGCCTATCCAGAAGGTCAGTGCCACAAAACCAGACGTGTGAACGGGGGGGGGGGGAGGGAACCCGGCGATTTTGCATTTCACCGCAGAAAATGTGGGACATTCCGGTAAGGGACGTAAGATACCGCGGAAATGTCTTCTGGAGACGGGTTTGGAAACGTTATCCGTATTGTGCTTGTAGCAACTTCCAACACCTAGCCAACCATGCCGTCGGGCGAACCAGTCGATCTTGGCGAAATAAGTCGAGTGCCATCACCCAGCAGGAATGCGTCCCTCAACCCCCCCTTTAGAGACTTCAGCACATCCCTTCGAATGGGATATTGTCTCGAACAGGCAGCCTTCGTTCGGTGCTATACTACGTGTGTTTTCGAACTCGCGCCCAACTCCCCCACCGCTATGCATGTAATAGCCGACTTTTTTTTTATGTTCTCGACGTTTCATTTCAACGAGCGACGCCTTCCTCTTGCGTGCACTTCCTCCTGGCAAGGCGGTTGTGTTCCTAGACCGCGATGAATTCAAATCCACGTGGTTGGGGAACAAGAGCATCTACCGGACGAGGATGGCGATGGCGGACGGCGGGGAGCTCATCGTGATGGCCCCGGGGGTCGCCAAGTTCGGCGAAGACCCCGACATTGACGCCCTCATTCGCAGGGTGAGGTGGCTAGCGTGCTCGACATCAATTTGCGTGCATACAACCTCGTCGCGCTGGGGTGCTAAACGCCCCTTGTGGAGCCGCGACCTCTGCCGTGGTTGTAGCGGTGTCGCTGGGAAGCCTTGTCTGGTAATGTAGGTGACCGCAGGTTCCGGTATGGGGGATTGAATCACACTGCTTTATCGGCCCTCTCTCACCAAAGTCGAGCGCGTCTATTACCTTCTGCTCCGCGTGCCCTCAATCTTGCACCGCAAGTAAACAAGGTGGGCGTATGCAAATATATGGTGTGGTTAGAACACATCCATGCTGACCATTGCACGGAACGTGCCCTCCTTCGCTCGTGCTGGTGGGTGGCAGTACGGCTACCGAACAACCCCAGAAATTATGGAGTTCTTGAAGAAGGCCCTCGAGCTGCAGAAGAGTCTCAGTGCCGCGGCGCATCTCATCCATGGTTCCTCCGAAGGACGCTTCACCATCACCTACTGCCCCGGGGGGCTAACTCGGGAGGATGTGGAAGGAGGTGAGGGTGTCGGGAGAGACTACTTGTTTGTTTCTGGTGGCCTTCGCGGAATGTATTTGCTTTTGGTGGCCTTCGTGGGATCATCGCCATCGCTGCTATGCAGACACATGGCTTCGGCGCTTGAGAACAACTATTTGCTTTTGACCGAGGCTGGTGGTCTTAGTTACTCTTGTGGGCTACAAATAGACACTATATAGGTTTTAGTGTAGGGGTGCTTATCCGGGCTCGCAAGTGGTGCTCGATTTCTTACGTTCGATAAGTTGTGGCTCCGATATAAGACGGTCGTCACGGACTCGACCCTCTATGTTTAGCATACTTTGAGTACTCTCTTATTCCGGTCGTCAGAAGGGGGCTCCGATAAAAAAGGGTCGAGGGCCTTTGTCACACCACCTTCTTATACCGGAGCCACAACTTCAACGTTGAGCATGCAGTTCTTAACCGCCAAGCTGTCAGTTGAGTGCGGGCGGTATCTGTAGTCGACAACCCCGCGAAAATGTGCCCCGCCTCTGTCTCCAAGCCTGCCTAACCACGGAGTTCCACGATCTCTCCACCCCTCCGCTCCGCACCTGCCCACGCACCCAAGTGGGCTTCAACTACGCCCCCCTTGCGGAGATGATGGAGCGCTACCCGCCCTCGGAGATGCGCGAGGGTTTCAACGACAACGGGGAAGAGACGGTGTTTTTTGTCTCGAATCCCGCTCTTGGGCTGTGGGCCGTGCGAGACCGCCTCATGAGGGAAGGGGAGGACCAAGGAGGGGGGGGGGAAGAAGAGGAACAGGCGCCTGTACAAATATAGTATTGGAGGAATCGGCAGGGGGGAGGTGGTGCTGTGTGCGTTTCTCCGTTGCCAGGGCGGTGATTGTGATTGAACCGCTTGTGTTTGTGTCGTTTTTTCTGGTGGCGTGCGTTGTACTACGGCTGTAGCGGTGTGTTAGCCCTTTGTCTTCTGAACATTGCAGGGCAGTACGTGTGCATGGCTGGAAATAGATATTTAACGTGGCAACGACGATAATACGCCGTCGTGTCAAGGGAGTCAGGTCTTAAAAGGCCAAGGGAAGTACAGAAGTCATGTTCTCTTCACCATATACAGGTGTCTTTGGAGGAGGAAATCTAACGTGTCTCTTGTCGCGTTCGGGAAAGGGGTGTTGTGTACCAGCGGCATGGCCATTTGACGACGCGTTCGGAAGACCTGAAAGCACGACTTGAACGTCATCGAAACTTGAAGAACCGAGGAGCTTGGCCGCCGAGTCTCGCTGGTATGGTGCGTGCGCGTCCACGTTGTATTGCGGTCTTCAAGCCGAAGTTTTTTTGGGAAACACTAAACACAAAATTATGAAAAAGTGCTACACGGATAGACCGGCGAACCTCTGGCTCCCCTATATATTCATTCTTTTATTTTTTCGTCTTTACTTCGAATCACATCAGTGTTCACAGCACTTGTGCGGTTTACTCCAACCCGTGGTCACGCAGTAGGGTTTCTCTCCCTGAGACCCCCTACCCACCCCTCTTGCGGTACTTTGCCTTCGATTCATGCGCTCGCTTCTTGCAGTTTTATCCTTTCCTGCGTTATTCAAAGGGTGCAACACACTTGACTTTCCGATGACTGAGTCTTCCGGGGGGGAGGCAAGAGCAGAGTACATTGTGGTGTTGGCCACAATCCCTTCACAACATCCTATTTTCTCCCACGCGATTTTCGCCAGGGTCGCAGAGAGACAGAGACAGGCAGACAGACAGACAGAGAGTGGGATAGCACCAGGGCCGAGCACTGCGCCACACGCAAGGGAAATCTTTTTCCCGTTCGAGGTAGAGATATAGGAGGGGTGGCAAGTTCCTTACAAGTGCGTGCGTTGTTTGGATATCGGTGCTAAACGCGTGCGTTTTTTCTTGGCATTTCGGAGAGTGAAAATGTACCTCTGTCGTTGTGTTCCTTCATTTATCGCGTTGTGGATCATGCCCCAATCTCGCGAATAGTTGCCGCTTCACCGCATTCTGCACACATGCGCTCAACAATGTACAATGTATGCATACAAAACGGGACAAAGGGGCCGCGGGCCGCGAGCCTACTGCTGTATGTGCATTTTTTTCGTTTTCTACCGTCCTGTCTTTCATTCGGAGAGAAGCTTAGTGCGGGTCGCAGCCTCCCCCATTGTGCCCCTATCACGGGGTCCCATGTCATGCTGCGGTAGGAAGTGCTGCAAGATTTGCGATTGTTTTTTTTTTTTCTTAAGGACACAATGAATCCATCTCCATCATAGAAAAAAAAAAAAAAAAGAGTCAGAGACAGACTAGCAATGACTTCATAGCGTCAAGAGAAGCTACCTGTATGTCTACGATTTCCCAGACAGCATATAGGGGCATCTCCCCTGCGGGTAACAGGCTCAACAAAACAGTTTGGTAGCTGTCTTGTGTGTCTCGTATATGTCATGTTGGGGAGGTGCAGCAGAAAGGTACTGCTGTTGGGTAGTCGAGCGTTTCGTATTGTTTTTTTTTTTTTTGACACAACGAATCCATCTCTATCATAGAAAAGAGTCAAAGACAGATTAAAAATGAAATAATTCATAGCGTCAGAGAAAGCTACCTGTATATGTCTACGATTTCCCAGACATCATATAGGGACATCTCCCCTGCGGGTAACAGGCTCAACAAAACACGTTTTTTTTTTGTTTCATCAGTGTGACCACAACGAATCCAATTGTCCCTTTTTTTTCTTTTGGTTCGTTCAAGTTGGTTCGTCGGGCTTTTCGCTGTGCTGTTCGGGCCAAAACATGTCTCGACATGGTGCTCTCATGAGCACATTCCGGCATTCCGGAGGGATCACTCGCACTTCGTAGATACTAACACGTGCACCACGACCACATACATGAACGTGTGTGCTGTGTGTACTTCGTAGAACACATGCACCATCACCACTACATCATGCACGTGTGTGATCAATGTAAAAAAATAAAGCCAGCACGAGGTTCAGACCGAGACCGTGAAGATATAGACAGGTCAGATGGTCACAGACCGTCTATAGTCTCGCGTTTGTCTATCTGGTGCGGGCGAGGGGGATGCAAGCAGAGCGATAGCCGCGTTCAACCGGTCCAGAAGGTCTTCATATCATCTCTCCAGTCCCCTATCTCCTTGCGCACCGCGCGCGCACACACGCCATGAGAAAAATCGGATGCAGCAGTGGCAAAAATCCGCCCCCGGTGCTTCTCCGACGGCGGCTAGCCGACAACAGCAGTACATACCCCGAACGACCAGCTTAGCCGCTGCTACTTACTAACTGCCCTCCAACTACAGCAGTATTATCCACCGTTGTTCCTCTCTCCAAGCACAACGTATCACGCGGAGCCATAGAGCGTAGGCATCGTCGTCGTGCTCCTAACCAACAAACAAGATGCGGCGTGTGCTCAATGCTACCGCGCTGCTTTGTCTCCTGGCATGTGCAGCGGCCCACACAAGCCATTCCGATCATGACCACGGAAGCCACTCGGATGAGTCAAGCCACTCGGAGGGGGAGGGCCACTTCGAGGCGGCCGCGGTGTACGACGTGGAGGCGGGCACCAACTCTCTGGCGGCCTACCCCGGGGGGGGAAGCTTCGAGGAAGAGACTTTCGCGTTTATGGTTGTACCCGCTGCTTCTGCCGACCTTGATGGACTAGAGGGAGCTGAGGAGGACGCTGAGGCTGGTAAGTGTGTCTCCGATTACTACAAAACTGTTGGTACGCCGGGGGTGTTCTTCCTCCACTGAGCGCATCCCGCTGCAGACTACGTGTGGTTGATGTCGCTGCTGGATATCTCGATGCAGCATGGGTGTATGCGCATCAATGTTTTTTTTACATAGCCCGACGAAGGGTTTGCCTCCCACACACACCCGGATTTCGGCGGGCCATTACTGTAATCTTCCCGATTTTCATTGAGGCAGGCGAGTAATTATAGCTACAAGCGACGCGGCTGCGGTGCGGTGCCGTGTGAGTGCTTATTTGCCATGGAAGTCGGTGTCGGGTTGACGCCCCGGGAGCGCGTTCCCCCCCACACACTCTGCTTGTCCATGTCGAGAACACTCCGTCTTCTTGTGGCAACCTCACCATGGGGGACGTGTAAAAGAGCAGAATATTATACGTCGCCCTCTCTTCGTGTGTGCATATGCATACTGCTGTATGTAGTTGAGCCTTTTCGCTGCTGTTGCTGCCTGCTGTTGCCTCACTATTTTCGATCAACAGAATCGATATTCTATCAAGTATCGCGGATCACCCTGAGGTGGACCAGTGCTCCCGCTTTGCACCTCATTCCGCAGACTAGACAGCGCACGCTTCCATGTTTTTTCTATGCCATCTTTGTGTGCTTGGGTCACCACCGGCGAGATGTAGAACGATGAACACTTGAATGCAATCGATATCCGAAGCTATTGTTCTTCAACACGCGAGGGGCTGAGGTGAGAACTCTTGCGCGACGTCGCTGGTTCATTCGTTAGCGAGCAAAAGCCAGTAGAACCCTATTTCTGTTAACCTGGAAGTCATTTCGAAGAACAAACCAATAAACAGTTGTCGAACAGGACTGGGGGGCGCATGGGCCGGCTCGAATTGCATCCAAGCAGCGGTACGATGCTGATTGTCAAATGACGAGGGTCCGAACCGTTCAGGTCCGAACACGAGACAGCAAGCAGTGCTTGACGTTGAACAAGCAAGCTTCAAGTCTTCGTTACCAACAGCAGTATCTTTTCTGTTCGTCTTCGCCAATCATATTTCGATGTCCCTCCCAGCGAGGCGGTGACAGCGAGCGGTAGACTGCCCCGCGTGGCAACATTGGTGGCAGTCAGTGTAGAGACAGCCGCCGAAAAGGACTCCAAGTTGAAGGCGTGTAGAGAAGAACGGCTATCGTGCGGTCTGTTTGAAGTGAGCGGTTGGGTTTCCTCAGGCCCGGAATCCAATATTGAGCACGATACTCGTGTGAAGTGTCTGGCTCGAAAGCGATAGAAAAGAACCAAGCCAAGGCGACAGTAGTTCAAGGCAAACACTGACTTGGGAGATAATTTTCTTCTTTGCAAGCAAATGGCGGTTACGCGCGAAAACTCATTCATACTGAGACCTGTAGAGCTGTAGAGTCGCCGACGTGTTCCAAGGTCAAACCATCCCTCCATCTTCTCAAGAACAAAACCTTGCGGTTTTGTGATACCAATCCTTTCAGGCACCAACCCAGATCGAAAACCTCGCTCTTTGCCTTGTCATACCCGGCTCACACATACACGTGCTTGAATTTGCACACAGCATGGGACGCTGAACAACTGGTCAGATCCCTCCGCTTTTTACAACAAGCACACCGACCCGTCAACGTCATCGAGCTCTTGCTTGTTTCACCACCTGGTGTAGCCCCCCCCCCCATCTATACATCATGGTTTTCGTCGCTGGTCACGGACGTTGTTAAACATGCCGACCGTTTCGTGAGCTCGACAACCAGGTTAACGCATCTTTTTGCCGCTGTTTTTTCTTTTTTTCCGGTGATCATGATGGCGGTCGAGTAGATCATGTTGTGCGGGGTCGACAACCTTCACTAAAGGGATGATCGCACTGCGTTGTGTCACAGTACATTGATCAAGCACCCTCGAGGCAGTTACACAGTGCTGGTAACTCTCCCTGGAAGCGCCAGAAAATACGCTGAAGTCGTTTTCCGGTTGCAAGGAAGTAAGCACAAGATGCAGAACACCCTTAGCAGCATGCAGCGCACCCTTCATGCGACTCGCCGAATACCTCACGGCGCTTCGCGCTTAGTTTTATGAGAGCCTGGTCCTTTGAAAACCCGGCGTGCTCCGTCCCGGCTTTGTCGGGATAAGACGTCAATGGTCTAACGACTACGGCATGCACAGCTATGAGAACACCCAGCTGGGTCGCCCCATGCAACAGACCCCACCTTCCAAGACCGTCCAGTCCTCCTCGGCAACCAATTTTCACGAGTTGACAATCGTCATCCTCCTCTATACCTGCTCCTGTCACGCCCACCCACGCTCTTCCCTCCACCAGCGTGGGACGAGTACACCAGCGGCGCCGAAGATGCGACCGTCCTGGCTTCCGGGGAGTCGGCCACCCCGTCCGCCGACGTTGTCTACCAGGTCACCCTCGAGGACCCCCTGGTGCTGGTGCCGGTCGACGTTACCGCCGCCGGTGCGTACGCCGTCTTCCTGGAGCACGGGAGCGACGAGGTGGGCACCGCTTTTGTTTCCCCCTCGGGCGATGTCTTGGTGGCCGGGGCGGAGGAGGGTGGGGACGATGACGGGGAGGAGGAGGAGGAGGAGGAGGAGGATGAGACCGGGACTGCGACGGCGGGCAAGTGGGGGAACGCGCTTGTGGCGTCGCTCGTCGTGTCGGCTTGCAGGTCAGTAATGTTGTAAATCATCCCGCCTAACAGCTACTAGATAGTGGACCTTATCGCGGACAGTCAGTCTTGAATCCGTATGCCCTCCGAGTCCCTCGGACATTCGCTCTGCCCCAGTCTAGTTTGCTACAGCGGTTGTTGCCCTGAGGGAAAAAAATCTCCGTTTTCGCCTCAAATTTTGCTATATGGTGTTCGTGTTGCTACAAATTCTCCTAATTTGAGTTGGATGGTTATGTATTGGCGGTAGCAGTAGCATTCTCGATGTCGTGGTGCTCGTTATGATGGGAGTGGTGGTATTGAATAATTGTCAGGGTGAAACGTTGACGACCAGTTTTGTTCACTGGGGGGATCGTTGACCACATCATCAATGTAGCGTCGTTCTTCTGCCGCTTTTATTTTCATAGGCTTGCATCTCCGCGAGACAGTCGTGCGAATGTGATCGATGAAAGGCGGGGCACTTTGTCCTCCGTAACGCCCCTCTTGTGGGCCCTCGATGGTCCGCTCCCCCCCGCGCCAGCACCTACAGCGGCATCTCGGCTAGTTCTCGATAACACAATAAGTGGAGTAATTACGAAGGAATACATGATACAGGGTTTCAACTAATTGGATTTTTTGTTTTGTTTTGGTAGGACAAGTCATCAAACACGCGGCAAGCGCATGCACAGATCCCCAACCGCCCGCCCCTTGTGAACAAAACAAACGCCATTCCCTCCTTGTCCATGATTGGGGCGCGCTTGCAGCTTCGCCGGGATCGTGGTGGTGGCCAGCAAGCACGTGGCGAACAACATCGACCTCTCGCACGCCTTCGTCTTTGCGTCCGGCGCTCTCCTGACGGCCGCCCTGCTGCACATCATCCCCGAGGCGCTTGAGGGCCTCGAGGAGTCGTACGGCAGCCTCCACGACCTGGGTCTGTACGCCGGCCTGGCCGTCATGGGTGGCATGTCCCTGGGCATCGTCCTCCACGCTCTCTTGGAGTCGGGCCACTCCCACTCCCCTGGAGAAAGCCACTCTCACGCGCCGGGAGCGGTCGAAGCGGGAGGCGGCGGCGCCAAGGCATCCGCATATACCGGCACGTCGGAGGCTACCCTCCCTCCGTCCCCCGTCGAGTCTAACTCGGATAATCTCCAGGCGTTGATCTCCGCGAGAAAGGGAAAGTCGCTGCTGGACGTCAAGGGGCTGGAGCCGGTTTGCTGGAACGTGATCGCGGGCGACCTGGTGCACAACTTCGCGGACGGGGTGGCCATCGGGGCGGCGTTCCTGAGCTGCAGCACGACCATGGGCTGGACCGTCGCCGCGTCCGTGGTCCTCCACGAGGTGCCCCACGAGGTGGCCGACTTCATGGCGCTCCTAAACGGGGGCATGAGCCTCATGCAGGTGCGGCCGTGTCGCGTGGTGGTGGTGTGGTTGTTCCATGGTACAGGGATGGGCTGACTCGCTAGTTTGCGGTAAACAAACTAGGTGTGCGGTGCGGTGGGGGTTGTGAGCCAACAGGCTTAGGTGACCCTTCGACTTCGGATATTTCATGTTCATTGTCTTTCAATGGACCAGCGTAGCTGCTGGATCTGCTGCTGCCGACGCCACATTTCCATGTTTCTCCAGCGCGAACAGTATCCCACCAATGATGGCGCTGGCTTACTGCGCCTCTCGTGTATGCACCGCCCCCCACGCCCACCGCGTATTTTTTCTGCGACACCTCCGTAGGCGTTCGTCTACAACTTCCTGTCGGCCCTGTCCGCCGTGCTCGGCACCGTCATCATCCTCGCGCTGCAAGACACGCTAAGCGAGAAGGACATCGCGATCGTGCTCCTGGTCGGCGCGGGGTCCTTCATCTTCATCGCCCTCTGCGAGCTGCTGCCGGGGGCCCTCGCCGTCGCCGCCCTCGTCGCCAAGAGGGGCGGGGGCGCCATTGCGCGCTCTCAGGTGCTCAAGCTGGGGTCGTTCCTTCTGGGGGCGATCGTTATCGGCATCCCTCTGCTCTTCGATGAACACTGCGGCACCGGCCACGATCACGACCATTGAATTGACCGCACTAAGACGCAGGCGCGATTTGTTTTTGCAACGGTTGGGCCGTCATGGCTTCCGAGGGCGCCAATAATTCTAGCATCATGGTTTATTGGTTCTCAAGCTGGGTCTCGGTAATGAGTGTTTGTTTTGGTCTCGAGTGCTTTCGCCATTCGGTTGCAATCAAGCAGTAGCATATATATTTCAAAATCATGCATGAGTTGTTCCGTTTTGGGCCCACCACACCCCGCGCGCGAGGGAAATATTTCACGCAATTGGAGATACTCGTAAGGCACACCTGACGAAACCGCGGTGGGACAGGCCTATAGGCGCTGTTTGTTTAATGTCGCGTGTGAGTCATGCTGGAGTGGGAAAGGGGGCGGGCGGAGGTGTCCAGAAATGGGTGTGCATGGGGGGGGGGTGTACTCATAGTCGTGCATGCCGTAGTCGTTTGACCATTGACCTCGCATCCCTACAAAGCCGGGACGGAGCACGCCGGGTTCTCACCGGACCAGGCTCTCACATCACCAAGCGCGAAGCGCCGTGAGGTATTTGGCGAGTCGCATGAAGGGTGAGCTGCATCCTGCTAAGGGTGTTCGGCATCTTGTGCTTACTTCCTTGCGTACGGATGACAGCTACGTATGACTTAATTTATTTTCTGGTGCTTTCACTTCCAGAGACAGTTGTAAGCACTGTGTAACTGCCTCGAGGAAGCTTGACCATTTTAACACCACGTGGTGCGATCATCCCCCGTTGCGCGGAGTGAGGGTTCTCGACCCCGCACAACATGATCTACTCGACCACCATTATGGTTACCGCCAAAAAAAAAACCGAGGTAAGAAAAAAAAAACGGTAACCTGGTTGCCGAGTTCACGAAGTGAATTGGCTTGTTTTACAACATCGTTGCCAAGCGACGAAAACCCAATCCCGATGGCAAACACCGAGTGGGGGGCTTGTTTTACAACGTCGTTGCCAAGCGACGAAAACCCAAACCCCGATGGCAAACACCGGGGGGGGGGGCATGGGGGTGGGGGAATCACAATGCAAACCCCGCAGATGCGTTCGAGACGCGCCAAACCCGGGTCGGCTGAGCATTAGAACCTACGCCGTAGTATTTTTTGTAAGGCTTTCATTTGCAAGTATTTTGGGTCCCGGGTCCGACTTCGAGCAGATTCCTGGGTGAAGTGGGAGAGGGCCGGGGGACTGGAGGCTATTTCGACAGGGCGGGTGTTTGTGGTCACACCACAGTTTGGTTGTACCAATGATGGGCTACTTTGCCTATTTCAGACCAGCTTTTCTTGTGTGGCACACGCCATGGGCACATGCAGAGACGACTGGTTAAGGCGGGTTGGTTGGGGGAATCATTGTGCGATTCTGCGTCCTAGGTATGAATGGTGTGGTACCATCTTACACATGGCTTAGTGTCAAAGGCGTAGGTATCATAATAGGTGTGGTACTTCTATTTGTATAGCGAGAGTGTTGGTAAATTAAGAGTTGCTGTCATTGTTTCGTATTTGGGGGAGGGGTGGTTGTTTCATCGGTGTTGAATCGCATGCCATACATACTTAGAAATGTTCTCGTCTCTTTTGGGTGCATCGATACCTTCAGACAACGTCTTGACTTGCTATTTTCATGCTGGGGGCGTTTTGGCGGGCCGTGTGTACGAAGAAGCAGGGGGGTGTACAAGAAAGTAGGGTTGTCTGAGCTATCCCATAGTTATCGTAAATGGGTCGACCTTCGTAAATCCCAGGTTTGTGTGTTTTGCATGTGTACATGTCTCCTGTTCAGTAGGCTCGATGAACGCTAGTCATGTGTTTGTACTCTATCACCCTTTCGAAAATGTGAACTAGAAGCGTCTGCCGTGGCTATAAAATAAATACATACCCTAAAGCGGTGTCTGCCTGAGATGAGATGGCGAGCGGGCCCTGTGAGATAAAAAGGAAATGCCCCTGAAACCGGCCGGATCGTTTGAGCGATTTACTGCATGTACTACCGTCGCTGACCTGTTGATTCGCTCTTCGCCGGGCGTGCTAGAATCACGCGCACTGAGAAGACGGGGAAAAGAGGAATAGACGGGAGTACTCCGAGCTGTTGTGAATCGCGAATACTGCTGCGTCAGAGATCTCAGAGAGATTTGGAATTAAACGCAACAGCGCTGTGAGACCCGAGAGAGAATTCAGGTGAACGGAGAGATAATCTACATGTGGTGTCAGAGACATGCACGTTGGTTACAATGACCAAGAGACTTGGATGAGCGAGACGCCGAGAGGTGATAGCGTAAGCAGCCCGCGTGGCGAGCATGACGAGAAATCAATCGGTACGTTGAGTCAAACAGCAACGATGTGTGCCAACAACGCCGCCGGTGAAAATCAAAGCTAAACCAACTCAAAGGAAGATTCGTCATCATCTGTGCTGGGTTCGAATTTGCTCGGGAGAACTTTCTTGTATTTTGCAAGCAGAAGAGAGAGAGAGAGAGAGAAACTGAGCGCCGCGGGCAAATCACACCCAGGCTAATACTCATCCAAACGTTTTCAGTCTCCAACGAGTTCTCTTCCAGTGAAACTCGAACGAGGTGTCTCCATTCCGAGAGAAGACTTGAGTGCGCGCCCTTGAACATGAAAACTCGAACCGGTAGGTGCTTCTACGATGGCACGCATGGCATGCTTTCTGCAAGCAGGCGTGGCACAATGTGCAATAGGTGATGTCTCTCGTACGGAAGTGTGGAGGGAGCGAGCGCAGAACGCAACAACACCAATTGCTCTCCAGACGCATTCGTCCCTGCTGCATGGGCATGTAACCCCGTATAGCATAGGTCTATCCCTTCTGTGCCGCACGGACATGAAGAGCCATGGATGGTATCGCACATCTTGGTTCCACGTTGATTGTGGCACCCCAGAACAACGTGGGCCTTTTGTGCCACAGTCCCCCAAACCACAAATAGTGGGGGGGGGAAACAAGCGCACGAAAACACTGAACCGATGGCAAAGTGGATGTGTCCTTGGCGGCGGGGTTCGAATAAAATATTAGTGTACTCCACCATTCCTCCGCATACTGTCCGCTGATAAACAACTCGACTAAGCGAACAAAAGAGCGGACTCTTCTGGTACTGCTGACAAAAAAGCGTTGGGACAAACACGTGAAACATCACATTGATTGCTACCTATTTTCTCGCGAACAGAAGATTGGGCCAATCGACTGCTGCTACAACAACGCTACCCCTGTTTCGTCGGGACAACAACAACAAAAACAAGTGTCCCGCGCGGTATGCCCACCGCCGCAGCTATCAGCTATCTTGTCGAAACGCTATTGGAACGACAGCGGGGCAGGTGGCGGAAGAGAATCAGGGTCCCGAAGAAGCCTGCGCACCTCGCCGTTCTTGAACCGGTACTGCAACGACCGCCCGACGTCAGGGGGTCGCACCCGTATCGCAACCGCGGGACGTCGGAAAACGGGCGGGGGTTCGGGGGCGGGGGCGGCGGCGGAGGGCAGGGGTCGGGGTAAGGCGTTTTGCAACACTCAAAAGATGCATGCACATAACCGTTATGGGGGGAAGTTGGCTTGTGACCACGTAGGGCGCCCTGAGTCCGTTGGATCAGTACCGATTACTGGAGAAACAAAGTGGAGACCGGAACGATCCTTATTGTGAACGAAACAATAAAAAACAAGAACAAGAACAAGAACAAGAACAAGAACAGGGAGGTGCGGTCGTTGGCGAGGGGAGGGGCTAGTCTGCGACGGGCAACGAAGGTGACGAGGATATCTTCGTTACAAAACATGAGGCGCACTGCTGTACCACGTGCGGCTTTCGTGGGACGGAAAGCGTTCCGCGTAGTGCCACCATCCCATGCAGCGTAGTACAGAACCACGGAGCAACCTCAACCGACTCAACAACATGGCACGTTTCTCAGCCTTGTGGGCTCTGTCCCTCGCAAAGCGCTCAGTCCCGCACGTCCTGTGACCCACCAAAAAATGTATCTGAACTGAATATTCTACTATAGTCATCTTTGACCGAACGCATTCCTCAAGCTGGAACAGCAGAAACCCGGTCCAAACACCTCCGGAATGGGCGTCCGTTCTTCCACAAGACTGCCGTGAGCCCTACGCCTAGAAAACAGAAAAAAACAGCAGCTGGGTAACCAACAAAAGGCAGGTATATTCCCCCGCGCCAGCTGCACGGAAATCCGCACCATGCACTTGCACCGCGGCCATTTACCGTGTGGACGTACCTGAGAAAATAGCCGCTCGTCCGCGCCGGCAATGTAGCATTGCGCGATTTGCAGCGTGTCCGCGTGTGACGAGAGCACGATGTCTGCGTCTTCGTAATCCCGCTGCGGGAGACAGGAGCGAGGATGCAGCGGCGAGGGTATGGCGTCGCGCCAGAGAAGGGTGGGGATGAGGGGATGTATACGTGAGGTGAAAGAGGTAGGTCGGGTTGGCGAGGGTGCTTCCTTACGTCAGGCGAGGGCAACGTATACAGCATCGGATACTCACCCGTTCATCGCGGGTCCTGGCGCGTTTGTCCTATTTTCCAAGCTGTGACCGCCGGGTAGGCTTTCGTGATGGGTCAGTATCGGGAGGCCGTGAAAAAACCATCGCTACGGACAGCAACAGCAGTTTCTCAAAAGCGCCAGGTAGTAATTGGCCTAACTTTCGGACCGAGAACGAGAGGGAGAGCAGTAGTTGGAAACATAAGCTGGCTTTGCGTTGCACCAACAACAACACCAAAAGAGGATAAGAAACCTATTCCAGCCGAAACAAACAAAGCAAAATTGGTTGTTTCAAACATCCAAAAACACCAGTATCTTCTACTGTAGGCACTACCAAAACAAGCCATGCACATGGGTCGAGTATTCGCTTCGGGTTCAGCAGAACAAAACACACACACACACACACACACACACCCGTTCAAATTCGCAAGAATATGAATATTCGCACGGCCACGGCGGTGCTCACAGAGCAGGGGCTGCGATTCCTCCCTCGCCTTACCTCGAGAGCCCGAACGAGACGCCCCACTCTAGACGCCACGTCGCACACGCTCTCGACCCCGTACCCCTCCTGCATCCCATCCTTCAAGTCCTCCGGCCAAACCTGTGCCAACGCGCGCGAAATCATTTTGGGCCAGCAAGCGAGGAGGCTTACACTGGGGACCGGGGGAGCCGGGGACGAGAGCTGTGCACATGCCGAGAGTGGCATGCCCACTTGTTTAATCACTTGCCCTACGTCATCTGACCAGTGAGCGTTTGGTATCACCTTCCCACCCCCTCGAATGCCAGCCCAGTTTGGCGGCCTGCCTAGTTTGGCGGCAATCTTCCTTCAAAGACTTCGATTGAACTGTCAGCATAGTCTCGTGAGGCTTTTTTTCGTTTTTTTTTTAGAGGGGGCACTTTCTCTAGCTGAAAGAGGACCCCGTGCCGTAGATCGAGGAGGAGGGCCACGCGCAACTGCGCACAATTGATCGCAAGTTCTCTACACGCAATGCTCATGGTGTTGCTTTCGTCCATCCTCTCGAAGCCCGTAAGAGCCCGAGGCAAGAGGGCACTGTGGGCTCATTGGACGGCATTACGTGCCTAGCTCGCACTAGATTTCATCGTGAATCGCGACGACATCGACACGCGTTGGTCCTGCTTACCGTGCGCTTGCACCGCCATACCTCAGCAACAAGGAACGTCAATTTTCAGGAAAGCAGGAAGAAGAGAAGCTTGACGCACGTAATGACATGCCTTCCCCCCCCCCCAAAAAAAAAAGACAGGCTGCGAAAAAACTGAACAATTTTTTTTTTTCCCACAACGAACGTCCTCATCGTGCCTTGTTGTAGTTGACCAGAATCGTGCCGTCCAGCTCGCCGAACGCCCGCTCCCTCAGCTCCTGCCGGATCACCAGCGGAGGGGATACGTCGTAACCGCCCATGCTCCCCTCGTCCAACGAAAACTCCCCGTCCCCTCCCTCGGCCCCCGTGCCGTCGGCCGCGGCGTCGTCCCCCTTGCCGCCGCCCATGGCCATGGCTGCGCGCTCGAAGGATAAGATGTTCTGGAGCGCGGCGCGGCACTCTTCCGCGGTCTGCCGTGCGCGGAGGAACTCGCTCGAGACGAACACCAGCGAGTCCAGCCGGTCGCGTCCGACCTGTTGCGGGGGGAGGGAGGATGGTGCAACGCGGCGTCATCTAGTGACTCTGTGATGCTGTTTTTGGTGCGTGTGAACACCTTGGCAGAAGCTGCAGCGTGTGTAAAAAGCATGGGCACAGGCAGACGGAAACCTCTACAACGGGATTGGTACGCAGGTATTGGGCTTCGGCCTGGCAGAGCAGTACAGCCTTAACAGACAGCTGCGGAGAAGGTTTGATCGAGATTGTAAAAGGTAGCAGCACCCCTGAGCGCATCTTCTTAAACCTGCTGCCCACGCCTCGTTCGCTGCGTAGTTGCCCGTAGGCACCGCGACCTCAACAGCCGCTCGCGTCAAGCACTAGGCAGAAAAACCCTCTGGGCGCCTCCGGACCAGATCTCGCAAAAAAATACCTGCATCTATTTTCACTCAAACGTACTGTGTTGCAGACGAAGCCAACGCGTTGCAGACAAGGCGGTCTAACTAGCACAAAACAACCAAAAAACAACCGTGGCAGATACATATTTCACCACATGCATGAGACAACGATCTCCAACGGCTACAGCCTTTCCGTGATGTCGTTTCCTAGGAGAAAAACACAACGCCTGCAAGGGTTAAGCGCGAAGAGCTGAGACGATCCTTACACTCACCGCTTCTATGAGTGCGGTCGCGGCCACTCTGGCCTGAGAACGCCCGTTCGAAGTGAGGCCGTGCTTCACCGACCCAACCTTGGGGTTGCTTGAGATTATGCCCTCCCTGTGCATCCGGAGAGGTTTTGGTATGCAATTTAATATCATACGACTTCGTAGTCAGAGAGCCCAGGACCTACCATTACAGCTGTTGGGAACTACACAAGTGTTGACCTCTGAGATTCTCAGACATGTGGTAGCTATTTTTATGCGTGAGATTTCCCAGATTTTCAATGTAGCTCAGGTGATTGTCTGGTGCTCTCGTAGAAGAGGATAACGAGAGACCCGTGAAGTGTCAAATCAGACACCCGGCAGAGCTGAGCGTGCTTATGAAAAAAGTTATTCTCTTTTCAGTGGTTTGCCCCGTGGGAATAGACTTTGGTCGTTGTACTATCTAATTATTGAAGAAGGTCCAGAGAGAACCAGGGCACGCAACTGATCATGGATGAACATAGACCCGTCGTCGTGCGCAGTCTTCGGGTTGTTGACGGCGTGGGCGCCCTCGAACATCCCGAGTTTCCGTAAAACATATGGTACATGTATAAGGCAGTGACCTCACTCACAGCAACGTGCGGCGCAACACGAACGGTGGTGACACATGTTTCCACCCAAACTGACGTACACCCTCGGCGATTCAAGAGAGCCGTTCCAAGAACGACACCATGGCGCAATAAACACGACACAACTCACATGTTCGCGACACTCTGACCGTGTCGCAGGGCGTAGTATCTGTTCTTCAAGGGCGGGAGCGCCTCAAGGCCGGTGCATCTGCCGCTCTCCTCTACCTTGTAGCCCTCGTTGGATATGGTTGATGATGACGCCGCTGAGAGAACTACCGCTGTCGCCGCGGCTCTCCTCCGTCTGTTGGGAAATAGTGCGCTGTTCGTAGCAGGGGTCCACCCCCGTGAAGACGAGGGTATTCTGGTGGTGGTGGTGGTGGTGGTGGTGGCGGTGGTGGTGGTGGTGCTGTCAACCGATCCTACGGATTGCTGTGCGCGTACGTGCACTGACGACCGGAAGGTAGTCCAACCTGTCACCTGATGCAATAGGAGTCCCATCCTCAACACTGTAACCAGCAACACTTTCATTGCCACAGCCATCGCTCTATCGGCACCGTGCCCGCCGCAAGAAGAGTCCTATCTGTATCTCCTTTACCAGCGTCGTCGTCAAGTAGTACTGATCTGCTGTGTGCAGTGCACACCACAGCAGTGATCACTTCCTGTTTTGGCTGTTTGCTCTCCGCTGGCTTTGACGCTGGCAGGGGGCTCCGTGATATACACTGCCGTGCCCCGCCATCATCCGAACCCCCCACACGTGCCCACTCGCTTTGCTGTGTGTCTTGTGTGTGTAGGTGCTCAGTGCAGCCCGGCTTCCTCCACTGCTTGTTCTTGTGTCTCCTTCATTCCGACTGTGCCCGTGCCCCCGTCCATGGATGTCGTTGGTGCGAAATTTTAGGTAGAGGCTCGACGTGGGCGTTTTGTGTAACTACATGCACACCTATATTCATGGCTATCTCGGAGACAGCAGCAGGTGCTGATGACCGCCCAACAACAACCGCTGGTGTCCGCCCGGAAAGGACAAAGAAGCGCAAACGCTTCCCTCACGGCAACTACACAGGTCAGAATCCTTAGATCCTCCAGCTCCATTGCCCTGTACATTCCGAGCACCCGGTGCGTGTTTCCCACCTTGTTGATGCAGGCTTGTCGTTTTCGTGGAGAAACTCCGCAACCAATTTGTGTAGAAACCCACGGCCCAGACGCCCAGATTCAAATCTCCGGCAGGCCGCACGCCACTCATGATCCCGCGCGAGGAGGCACCATATCGCCGGGTACACCGCGCAGGGTTTCTCGTTTGTAGGTGTGGGAATGTCTCTGAAAGGGTGATAAAAAATTTCGATGCTTCGTCTGGACTAGCAGACAGCCCAAACAATGCGTACGTTGACAACGAGACATCCCTTGCTCGTTCATCTTCGGCCCAACATGTCCACTCGAGGACAATGGTGCAGGAATCCAAGCTTGGCAGCCTCGTGCTTTCATCACAAAACAACATTCAGCACGGTCATATCGACGTCACTACGTACATTAGCTCGGTACGCCTTTGGGATCGCAACAACGTATTGTCCAAAGCGCAGTTTTATTTTGTACTTTCGCAGCACGATCAAGGGTTGTTGAGCGACACCACTGCGGTTGGGAGGAAGCTGTGTCCACTGTCGCTGGACCTGTCGCCGCCATCTTGCAGAAGCCATCCCGCAAGCGCCGCTCCTCTAAATGCTCAAGGAAATGGGGCTCACCAACCTCCACAGCTCGCTCACCTCTTAGCATCCGCAGACTTCGTTACTCACACCGCGCCCTCTAGCGTGTGAGGGATTGATGATTTTATCAGTTTCGTCATTTCCGCCAATGCCGCTTGCCCGCCTTCCGCCGAGAAGGCTACTACAATACCCGCTACGGGATTGATGGCTCTGGCGCTTCTGCCGCCGGTGGCTCCTCAGCCACCGCTGCCGCTCCCCCTCCCGCGGGCGCCCGCGACCCTCGGGTGGGGCTGATGCGAAGGTCCTGGTTCGAGGGAAAAAAGTGTTTGGACGTCGGCTGCAACGAAGGACACCTCACGCTGGCCCTTGTGAGAACGTTCCGCCCCCGACGGATGGTGGGTCTGGACATCGACAGCTACCTGGTGCGACGAGCTCGGAAGGTGAGCGGGGGAATGTGTATCCACCTGCGGTGATTCGCACATTGTTTTTCGATTCTTGGGAACATCTTCGACCGCGGCTCCATCTTGTGCCGGAGAACATCTCAAAGCGTGATTTGGCAGGCTACCGACGTCGCTGAAGATAACGTCTTGTTTGTATCTCTGGAGGCTTGCAGCATGTGCTGATATGGCCTCACGCCACCCCAGCCCGGCCCATTCGACGTTGACATGATTATGCTTACCCCGGGGGGTTTCTTTACGCCACATCTCCTTCGGGCGGCAATTTTTTTCTTACAGCCGGTTATTTCTTCATCGCACCATGCTTTGCTTTTCGCCTTGAACGGTGCTTCTCAATCAGGAGCTCTCGATGGAGATCAACGCAGCTGCCCATGCCGGCAAGAGCACAGAGTTCAGGCCGTTGATGCCGCGTTCTCTGCGCGGTGGCGAAGATGACGTCGGTGACGAGGAGCAAGCCACTCCTGCCACCGCGTCCATCCCCGTAGCGCGTCCCGATGAAGAAGCACATGGGGCGGATAGCAGCACCCCGAAGCTAAAGGCAAACGCTGGTGGCGAAGGTGATGCTAGTGGCGTTAGCGGTGGTGCAAGGTCCACTGAACCAGAAGTGCATGTGCCCGGCCGGAAAAACGAGTGTCGTGACTCGCGGAAGGGGTCTGTGGGAGCGGCAAGCGAGAGTGTGGCGCTGCCAGAATCACGCGGGGGTGGCACGACGGGCGGCGCGGCTGCGGGCTCCACTTCCGTTGGTACAGAGATTGATCCCGTTCGGAAGGACAGGGACACAAGGAAACCAGTAGCTACTGTTGGAGGTAGCCTATCAGACACACACGAAGGGGGTAACGATGCTACTGCCGACGACACTACCAGCGGATCTACCGTTGCTGAGGCCGCCACCGTCGTCGCTGTCGCCGCTGCCGGCGTGGTCGCCGATGCCGCCGCCGACCCCGACGCAAGAGTGTTGTCCGGGTGCACAGTTTCGTTTCGCTGCGAGGACTTCGTCGCCGAAGCCCACGGTGACCACGGCTACGACGTCGTGTGTCTGTTCAGCGTGGTAAAGTGGATGCACATCAACGGCGGGGACGAGGCGTTGCGGGGTGTGTTTCGAAAGACGTACAGTCTGCTACGGCCTGGTGGTAGGCTCATCTTGGAACCTCAGGTGCAGTTTGTTCGTAGACAACAGTAGTGTGATTGTGGCAACGGATGTAAGTGTGTTGTGTCGCTGTGACTATTGCTGTACGCTCGACCATGTCTGCTCCCCTCGGCGTTCCCCATGCCTCTGGCGTGCGCTGCGTTGGCCCTCTGTCGAGCGACATATCGCTGATACTTGCACATCTTCTCTCGCAGCATCATGGACACGCAAGCAAGTGATTCAACCGGTAGGTAATATTAGTGCAGAGGGTTGCAGCTATCAAAAGGCAGGCGCTAGTAGACAGCGTTCCGGCTGACGACGCCGGTTTTGCCGGCATTCAGCCATCGTGACTATAATACCATCCTCCGCCGTGCTCACCGTCTCCGCCTTTTACAGCCATGGAAAACGTACAGGAAGAGTGCCCGCCAGCATGGATTGCCAGAGGCCGCAGTTATAGTCGGGACCATAAAGCTTCGTCCTCAGGACTTCCCTGCCTACCTCACGGGAGAGGTGAGCCCCTCCGATGGTTTCTAGTCGTTTGTCTCGCCGCTGAAATGCTGCACCCGGCTTTTGATGCTCTCGTTCTTCCAGGTGTACCCCAACTCGCGCACGCAGGTAGGGTCAGCGTTTTTAGGGGCGGCGGTCTCCTTATATATCCAAAATGAAGACCAGCAGCAGAGGAGAACCCCTTTTTAATCCCATCATGTTCCGCACGTGACTATAATCAACCAACGCAGGTGGGGTTCCGCTCCTGGGAGGAGGTCGGGCTGCCGGCGGAAGGCGTAGGAGGATTCGCAAAAAGGAGCGTACATGTGTTCGTGAAGTAAAATGCTGACGTCCACCTGCTGACGTCCACAGAACATTCCTTCATCTTTTGGAAGAAAGAACGAGGAAGGACCAACACACGGGGAACGCAACATGAATACAGGAAATCAATAGTTCACGAGAGAGGGGCTACACCCGCCCACACGGACAGCTGTTTCGGGGCTGCATTTTGATAGCGTTCCTTCGAACGCCGCGGGGCGTCATGGTTAAAATCATTTACATGCCCGGCGCAGACGTAACGGGTTTGGGTTTGTGTCAATGGACGTCCGGTGATGAGACCAACCTGTCTTTCATTATGCACTCGTCGGTGTAAGGTTCGAAAGAATCGTCCTTGGAGGCTTGCAGACATATCCGCTTCTCTTCTGGCACAAAGTCCGTCGTTCTGGCGCGGTACCCAGAAAAATCGTTTGGATGTGTATGTAGTCTACGTACACGCGGAAACTACGGATTGTGTGTTGGCTGACGGCTGCTACCATGTACACTTGGAAATTGGCTCAACTCCCATGCATAGGGACGCAACAAAAAACATGTTAATCTTTCGCGCGAAGCGCGAAAAAGAACCGGGCGGAGAAAGAGACGCAGGCGTGTATAGATATGGATGGAGCCTCACAGAGAGGTCACCACTGCTACAGCATGCGCTTACACTTCACCAAACACCGCCAGTCAGCCGTGTACGCAGGGCTGATGTTGCTGTTTAGCAGCGCGGGAATCATCCTCAGCTGCTGCTGCTGCTGCTGCTGCCGCTGTGTGGATGTGATCCACTTACGCTCGTAGCAGCGGCAACGGGCTCTAAAAATCGCCCCCGATGCCCTGTATGTGTGTGTGTATTTGGTCGCCTCGGCCGGCAGCGTGTGTACATCTCATTGTCTCTCTGTTTTCGGGCGCGTCTGCTGTGGATCAACAAAGATCGGCCTGCAGACAGACCGGCGAAGATAGCCGCAGATTGATTGACTTGTGTGCACTTGCTTGACTCGCTTCTACGCTGCTAGCAGCAGGCAACGGGTTTCAAAAGTCGCTCTCGATGCCTCGTATGATGTGTTCCTTTGCTGGAGTGAGGGTTCTCGACCCCGCACAACATGGTCTACTCGACCACCATCATGGTTACCGCAAAAAAAGACACCAAAGCCAAAACAAGCGGTAACCTGGTTGTCGAGTCGACGAAGCGATCGTCGTGTTTTAGCGACGTCGTTGCCAAGCGTCGCAAACCCACGATGGGCGGGGGGGGCGTACGATGTTATGTTTGGCATGCCTTCGCAGTTAAGCCGTTGCTCACGTGTGCTCAAGAGGACGGAGCACTGTTCCCACAGCACTTACCGATGGCCAATCGTTTCTTCCTGCTTTTGCCAAAGGTTCCTCAAATGTGTTTCCCTAGCCTGTCCATCCTCTCGATGCTACTTCCCGCCTGTTCAACCCGCTTCCTATGCCCCAGTACAGCTACCGTCTTCTCCCCGCTATTCTAGACCATGCCTCAAACAGCTTCCTGTATATTCCTTCTTCTTTTCCCAGCTTAGTCATGTACACTTCCCTCTCCTTCTTGTACAATGGACATTCCGCAACTACGTGAACCCGGTCTTCGCACTCGGATCCGCATTCACATTTCAACTTGTTGTCTTCGTCGTCTGTCTTCCAAAACCTTCATCTACGTTCTCGAAGGCCAATGTCCCCGGTCCTAAGCTTGACCTTCGGCTATGCCCCGCATCCTCTGGTCCATGTAGGCCTCCTTAAACCCTTTTCCTTCTTTCAATATTCCGTACACATCTAGACCCTTGTCATCCTCGGCAAAGCAACATATCTCTTCTTGAACGCCTCGATTGACCTTCCAATGGATATGTATCAGCTTCGTCCATTTCGAATTCCCTCCGTCCGCCATCTACAACCTTGGCCCACTGGGTGGGTTGTCTACCCCTCTTCTTCGTTCACTTTGCCTCCGAAGCTACTCTCGGCAACCTCTCCTCTCCCATACCGTAAATGCGGTACTGCCGTTCTAAATTCCTTGCCTCTCATGCCAATCGTAGGGGTTAGTGCTTGGGGGGGTTAATGTTCCCGAGGTCCAGAGTGAACATACATCATTTCCCCGCCACTTCAGTTTCGACTTCAACTCCCGGTAAAACCAACAGTGGATCGTCAGGCAAGTTCATGACCTTCAGTCTCGTCAGAGAAACTGGCCACCCTTCTCCAGACCTGGGCGGCCGAAACCGTTGGCCGAAGGTTAGCCGTTGAAGCGACGAAGGCCATCGTACCTTTTCAATCGACTGATCGAATTGGTCACCAAATATGACTTCCTGCAGCGCCGTAGGCCAGACCACCCGCTTTATCGATTGGTTGAAGTCATTACCAAAGGTCAGCTGCTTTAGTGATGCTGGCCAAGCAACTCTGGCGATGGGATAGTTGAATGACTTGCCAAACGACAAAATCCTCACGGATGCGGGCCACACTACTTCGTGGATGGGCCGGTTGAAGCACCCACCCATGGAAAGCTCCTGAAGCCCAACTGGCCACACCACCCGAGCAATAGGCTGGTTGAATTTGCGGCCGAGGTCGAGTCTTCGCAAGGATGCTGGCCAATCGACCTTTTCGATTTGGCAGTCGAACGAATTCCCAAAGATGAGAACTTCCAGCGAGGCTGGCCACTGGACGCTTTGAACAGGCCGGTTGAAGTCGTGTCCCAGCGTGAGCTGCTGTAGCGACGCAGGCCAGGAAACCCCCGATAGCGGCTGATTGAACGCCTCCTCGAACGTTAGCTGTTGTAGTGATGATGGCCACGATACTTGGTTGATAGGCTGGTTGAATCCATTCCTGGTAGGTGGTACATACCAATAGCGAGAGACCGCCTGCCTGACCGCATGCCAGTTCGCATCACGGTGCCTGCAGAAGGTCACTTTACGAAGTCCCACTGGCCATCTTACCGTGCTAAGAGGCTGATCGAAGCAAAAACCGAACTCGATTTCTTGGAGTCCCTCCGGGCACACCATTTTGTCGAGTGGCATGTTGAAGACGTATCCGAATGTGAGTCGTTGGAGAGACCGGGGCCACGTAATCTCGCGGACTGCTTGGTTGAAGCAGCCACCGAAGTTTAGTTGCTGTAAGGAATCTGGCAGCACCGATCCATCGATCGGTTGGTTGAAGTATAAGCCAAACGTGAGCTGTTGTAGCATGACTGGCCACACCATTGACCAGATTGGTGCATTGAAGTGGTCGCCGAAGGTAATCTGTTTCACCGACGCTGGCCACATGACCTGATCGATCCGCTGGTTGAATAACCTTCCAAAGGATATTTGCCGGAGCGATACCGGCCACAAAACGTTGTCAATTGGACTGTTGAAGGAATGGCCAAATGCGATTTGTTGCAGCGAATCCGGCCACACTGATCCGTCGATCGGTTGGTTAAAGCCCCAGCCGAACGTGAGCTCTTGAAGGGAAGCGGGCCACACGACCTTTTTCATGGAATGATCCTCCAATTGCAGCCAGGACATGCGCAACCTCGTCCCAAACTTCCCCCCGAACGTTAGTCGCTCAAGCGATACCGGCCACTTGACCTTGTCAATACGCTGGTCGAAGGTTGAGTCATGACCGAACGTTATCTGCCGCAGCGACGCCGGCCACGATACCTTGTCGATCGGCAGGTTGAAGTCTCGCCCGAAGATGATCTCTTCAAGCGAGGCTGGCCACGAAAAGTTCTCCAGCGTTGAGTTGAAACGCGCCGTGAACTCCAACTTCTTCAACCTGCGAGGCCACACGACGGAGCTGCTGCGGAACTTGAAGCTGCCCAGGAAGAATTCCTCGAGGCCAGCAAACACAGCTCCGGTGTGTTTCAACGCCGAAGTTGGCAGCAACCAGGTCGCCTTGACGACTCGGAATGGGGGCAAGTTCGCGGCCGAGCTTGCCGTTTCATGAGCACGGTCCCTGGGGAGGGCGTTGTCAAATGCTTCACCAGCGACCCACAGATGCTCCGGCGTGTCGCTGGACACACGGAGAGCCACTCTTGAGAGGTTGCGACACTCCACACAGGATTGAAACGACACTAGCCGCAGCTCAGACGTGGAGGCAAGCCAACCGGCCCCCCCGCTGTGGTTCTGGTTGAGGACGATCGTGAAAGTGTCCAGCCACCGGCTGTGACCTGAGTCGAGTGAGTAGAAAGGAGTTGATGCCGAGGAAACAGGATGGGAAGGGCTGGGTTTCACATGGACGTACGGCTTCTTGGGGTTCAGCACAGCCGGAGGAACATCAACACAAGGCTCTGATTCCAACGTCGTTCAGAGGCAACTATCCCCCGTCTGCGCAGAAGTTTCACAGACGTATATATAATCTCCTTGTAGGGTCCATTGTGTTTCAAAAGGAGTCCTACAAGACGGAATCTCTCGGTGCGAGATCGTGGTAGAGTGGAAATACGGCGCAGCCCATCTTGTCGTCAGGTTCCCAAACCGTTTCAGCTTCTTTCACTTTCGCCATATTTTGTGTTTAGTCCAGCGAATTGGAACTGCCGCGGGCATACGGTAGAGTCCATCCTACAGCAGACCCCGACCGAGGCGGTTGCCGCCGCTTGTGGTGAATATACTGAAGGGCGAGTACAGTGAAAAGCATAGACGGGAAACTTAGCCCCAATAATCATGTGGTACCCATCGCTCAGGGTCGGAGTCTGGCCTGAACAGAAATCGGTTTCGCGACATCCCTCTATGAACTCAAACATTCCAAACGTATTCTGGATTACTGCACCCCTCGAACCTGTGTAGATGTCTATTGTGCGATCTATTAGGGCAATCCGGCAAACGATGCTCAAATCAAGGGAGAAGACCTAAACCTATCACGAAATTCCTTTGTGAGGACAGTCAACGATGGTTAGGAGAGCTGACACTGGTTCCGCCGCTCGGCGCCCCCGCTCCCCTACTCTTTACGGGTTTTGTCTTGGACACCCGCCCCGAAAACGTTTGAAACAGAAAGAGACGACAAAGGAAGACGGAAGAGCAGAGTGTACGATACGCTCCCTAGAGCGCCGCAAATCACG